TCAGTGTAGTAGTCACAAAGACCTGTAAGCTTGAATTAGCCTTGACTCTTCCTTGTCTGTTGGTGTGTGTTAGCTTCCTTTTGTCACTAAGGTTGTAAATGTTACCACCACAGAGCCTTGTAAGCATGCCTCCCCCTTCCATTGCCAAAGGGATTTCTTTCAAATGCATTTTCCATTACCCTTATAATTGTAGTTCCACCCCAAATAAGTGAAGTTTGTTATTTAATCATTTCTACAATTTGGCCTCACTTTCCCTTTAAGGAAAATCATTGACTTCCAAAATGGGAGTCATTGCATTAAGCAAAAGTACAGACACACACATACACACACATTTCGGGTTAAACAATTACACTTTCGATTCCAGAGAAATCTTTTTTATTTTTATTTATTTTATTTTATCTTTTTTATTAAGCATTTTTTTTCATTCATTTTACACACCAAAGATTCCCCTCTCCCCTCCTCCCACCCCCCTAGCCTCCCCTTCCTAACCCACACCCCACTCCCCCTCACAAGAAGGCAAGGCCTCCCATGGGGAGGCACATCCATGGGAGGCAAGTTCAAGCCCTTCCCCCTGCCTCAAGGCTTTACAAGGTGTCCCATCATAGGTAGTAGGCTCCAAAAAGCCTGCTCATGCACTATGGATGGATTCTGATCCTACTGCCAGGGAGCCTCCCAAGCAGATCAAGCTATACAACTGTCTCGCCATGCAGAAATGTGGTACATATACACAATGGAGTACTACTCAGCAGAAAAAAAAAAACAATGACAGCTTGAAATTTGCAGGCAAATGGATGGAACTAGAAAATATCATCCTGAGTGAGGTAACCCAGACTCAGAAGGACAAGTATGGTATGTACTCACTCATAAGTGGATACTAGAAGTAAAGCAAAGGATAACCAGACAACATCCCACATCTCCAGAGAAGCTAGCTAACAAGGAAGACCCAAAGAACGACGCATGGATCGCCCTGAGAAGGAGAAATAAATGAGATCTCCAGGAGTAAACTAGGGATGAGGAGTGGTCAATGGAGGGTAGGGGATGGTGAATGAGAACATAAGGGAATGGGATGGTTGAGCTGGAACACAGAAATCTTATAATATTCCTTCAAACAGAATCAATCTCATTTTGTTTTTAATTTTTATCTGTATCATACCTCATGTCCATTCCTTTATATATTTATTTAATATAATTTTGTGGCACTAGGATCAAACCCAGATCCTCAGAAATGCCAGGGGAAGGGATTTCTCTGCTCCTCAGCCACATGTTGGGGGCCATTTGAAGGGACCAACAGGCAGCATTGGAACTCATGGGACATGACTGGGTGGTTGGCAAAACCATGCCTGAGTGAGCCTTGAGGCCCTCATACTGTACTGAGCATAGCTACAGTTCTTGCCTTCATTCACCACATCTCTCATAATTTATGGGTTGTATGAAAGCTCTCGGGGGGTTTCTAGCCCCTCACTGTATGTTACTGGTACTTAACAATAGTAGTGATTGATTTTTTCCAAGCATTGCTGCTCGAGTAGATTAATGATTCAACCACCACCCTTAGAAGGATTTTCAGGGTTAAATGAGAATTGGAGAATGCAGGCAGCTCTTAGAGAGGGGTAAGGAAGTTACAGGAGGGGGCTAAGAGGAAGTGTGAGGAAGCAGAGAGGATAAGTGTCTTGGTAATAAGAGTTTCAATCAGGGACATCTCTAAGTGGACTGAATGACTTGTTAGACAGAAATGTCTCTCTCCATGTGATGGGGGCTGGTAGGGCGACATGAAGCTTCCTGGCATGCTGGCTTTCATAGTAAAAATAAGCCAAGCAGGAAGCTGGTAATGACACTTACCCAGTAGGAGGGGAGTGACAAGTGGTTAGAGCATGAAGAGGGGAAAACAGCTGGAGAGATGAGCAAATAGAATTATCCAGAGTGCTAGGATTAAGGTGGACATTGGGGATCACCTTTTGAAATTTTTTGGTTTAGTTTCAGGGCCAGATATAGCAGGGCAGACGCTGTCAGCAAAGCTTTCTTTGTTAGTTGAAGTTGAGCAACCACTCCAAGTTATTTTCCCACACCCACCAAGCATTTTGCAAGTTAACTCTTTCTTTTCTTTCCCTAATGAATCGCCCTTGCTGGTGGGCCTCACTTACAGTAGTGGTGGCAGCAAGTTCCACCAGCCCCTTTTTATGTTTCTCAGGGGGTCCTGTAGAGTCATTTACAGTTAATTTAAGCCTTTCAGGGAAGTCCAACTAGGATAATGATACTTTGCTGCCTCTTTCTTAACTCTTGAATGAGATAACAAAGGTGTTCCCTCATGAGGAGGGGAAGCAGAGGGCTCAGGATTTTTACAGCCAGTTCTTTGGCTGGCAGCATGCATTTTGTAGTTACAAAAAGGGATCAATCACTTCATTATTTATCTTAAAAAGCAATCTTATACAAATTCTTAAAATAATCATAAACCTAAACTTTTACATATGAAAAACAATCAGTCAGCTCTATGTGTAAATCCCCAGGGTGCATACCCACTTATCAACAGTTTTTTATATCAGGAAGCTGAGGGCAGAAATGGGCACAAGGATTAATCATCACCCTTGATCACCAACCCATCCTATCAAGAAATATATGCCAGCCAGCAATAGCCAGGCTCTCATTTTTCTTGTTCTCTGACCTCAACAAATCCCTTGTTCAACTATGAAAAGTGTGTCTTTATAAACTGTAATTTGTTCCCCAAGATTTTCTACCTCAAAGCCATAAACAAAAACATCTTAAGCTAACCTTCCTAACAATTGTCTGAATTCTTTCTAAGGGTGGTGGTTGAATCATTAATCTGCTCCAGCAGCAATGTTTGGAAAAAGTCCATCACTATTATTTAAGTACCAGTAACACTTCCCAGTGAGGGGCTAGAAACCTCCTGAGAGCTTTCACACAACCCACAGATGATGAGGAATGTGGTGACCCTGACAACAACAATCAGAGCTATACTCAATAACGGCATGAGATCCTCAGAACACATAGTCCTTGGGGCTTTGCCTCTCCAAGGCTCACTCAGGCATAGCTTTGCCAACCACCCAGCCACGTTCCATGAGTTCTAATGCTACCTGCTGGTGCCCTGCATGGCCTCTGACAGCCACAGCCACAGTCAGAAGGTCTCTGAGCATCATGAATCTAGCATTGCTCTAGATCCAGCATGCTTTGTGGCATGTAAGAGTAATGACTTACTTGTTAATAGACCTTCCAGTCTGGTCTAGTGTAGGAACCAACTAAAAAGAAAATTAGCTAAACTACAAGTACTAATTGCAAAAAGATATGAGGAATATTATCTAAGGATTTTGATTTTGTTGATTTTAAACAGTCCCACTATGTAGCCCAGGGTCACCTCTAACTCGTGATCTGTATTTATTCTTCTCAACCTTGAGTTGCAGGTATAACACACTACAGTTGGCTTGATAAATTTATTCTCATTTTAGTTAGGAGTTGCTTCTTTAAAGATGGTAGGTAGAGGCAGTCTTCTCAAAGAGATGTAATCTACACTGAGCTATAGAGGAGGAGAAACATTCAGTCAGAAGAAGATGGGGACACACAAAGGATGGCATGTGTAGTGACCAATGGTGAAGGATGAAATAGAGTTGAGATCAGAGTTATCAGAAGTCTGTTTTACTATAAGAATGGATTCAGGCTTTATATGCAATCAGAAGTAAATACAACATTCTGAGCGGGAACTAAAGGAATCCAGCTTACATTTTCCAAGATTCTAAATGTTGTACAGAAAACAGATTGTAGGGAATCGAACTGCAAAGTCCTGAGGCAACTGGAGAAGTGTATACTGACAGGTGGGCTGGCATGGACTGGGTTTGAAAGAAGAGAAGTAGAGAGTTTGATGCAGCATTTAGAAGGCAAGAGCCAAGTCCCGTTGAAGGGTGGTGTGACCAGTGAGAGGAGACAGGTGATTCAGGAGAACTAGTCTATGGGCCGGCTGACAGGAAGGCAGTAATCACATACTGAGAGGCAGATGCACTAATCTGTATAAATTTTGGGGAGAAACTAATGTTTGGCTTTGAGTATTATGAGTTCAGTTGCCTCTTAGTCATGCAGCCCAAGGAGAAAGTCAAATAAGTATAATCAAAGATGTGAATCTAAAATTTGGAGCAGAGCATAAATGAAAATATAATAAGGCAAGCTCTCAGTATATGTTAAGTGATTCAAACCACTTCCAATAGCAGTAAATGTTTTGTTAAAAGTGTTTCTCTCTCCCTTCCTCCCTCTCTCTGTGTGTGTGTGTGTGTGTGTGTACATTTCATGGACTGTAGCTTTGAATTATATTATATTTACTTAGTTTTAGAATGACTCTACCAACTCCATGCTTGCAAGGTAATTTCAGTTCATGATCAACAAAATAGAAGATGTTTGGCCTCTCAATAATCATATAACTCAGCCGGGCGGTGGTGGCGCACGCCTTTAATCCCAGCACTCGGGAGGCAGAGCCAGGCGGATCTCTGTGAGTTCGAGGCCAGCCTGGACTACCAAGTG